TTTTCCTTTTGGATTAACACTTTCTCGTGTAAACTTTAGAAGACAAAGGAAGGATATGATAATATATTTACAGAAAAATATCATTTCAGATACTTTAATAGAGTTTTTCAGTCTCTATAACTTATTTTCATGATTTTTTTATCTCTTTTGCCTGCTTCATTCCTATATTTTAAAAAATATTTAGAAGGATCATAAGATGGCCCCAAATGGTGTTAATTTTGTTGAGATTAATTCAATACCATTAAACCCTTAGATGAAAATTAATAAATACGACAAACACTGACTAAATTTATGAACAAGAACTAGCAATAAAAATATTTAGAATTGATTATAATTAAAGCACATTTTTTGTCATGTTTATCAAATTCATGGTATGGCAAGAATCCGTTTCTTCTATTAAAATCAAGGGAGAGAATCTGAGATATAAATTGTTTGCATCTTATAAAGCTTTTTTAAATATTAACTAGGCATATTTTTTATTTTATTTTTTTTTTACAAATATACTAATACTTGTGATCAATGGTGCTACTTGTTAAAGTTTATGAGAGATTACATTATGTATAAACACTATTACAAAAAGGAATCCCACTTTTTAAAGTAGATGGAGAAGGGCAGGTGAGAGAAGTACAAAGAAACGTAACTTTGGCAAATATCTTGGGATCACACTATTATACAAAAGAGCCGCTTACAGTATCTTTGCCCCTTTGTGCGTGCGTGTGTGTGTGTGTGTGTGACCAAGCTAGAAGGAAAATGTCAACCTGGAAAAAGAACTATCTCACTTTAACTGGTAGACCCACCTTGGTTAACTACAACTGTAATTTCTGCAATCCCCAACTGTTACATGCAAACCATGCCATTTCCCAAGAAGTTGATGAATGAGATTGAAAAGATGTAGAGGTTTTTTGTGGAGGATAACAAAGGATAGCAGAAAGGTCCATCTACTCTCCTGGCAAAAAAATTATACAGTGGACTAGGGATATATAAATTTGATCTTCAGAGTCAAAATGTGGCTTTTATTATGAAATTATATGCGTTGGAAACTTGCCACCCAATCTTCCAGACTTTGGATACACATATTGAGAGAAGTAAGTATAACTGTGATAATGTAATGAACACTATTATTATTGGCACAATATTCTCTAGCAGAGTGAGATGAGAGCAAGTGAGATTCAAATGGAAACAATCGAGTGACGGTGATTTTAATGTTAAATCTGCTTGTTCTTTTGTATTGATCAGAACAATAACAACCATGTTTGGCTCTAACCAGCCTGCTACCTTGGAGTTATGTATTTGCCTACTTCGGTAAGATTTTGTTGGACAGCAATGAAAATGAAGAGAGCTTTAATGTCATTCCAAGTATTTTCAAAGCAAAGCACAATTATAACATGCTCTACGGAGTCAATCTAATTCAGCCCCTAACACCATTAGGGGCTGAATTAATTATAGAAATCTAAGATGTCTCCCAAGATTCAGGTAGAGTGTTTAGAAGCTACAGTCTCAAAATCTCATCTTCAAATCCTGACAATTGATCTAGGAAATCCTAGTGCCGCTTAAAGAGACCATCTATCTCGGAAGAGGGGAGAATATAATTGGGCCACCCAATAGTTTCAAAAAGATACATATAAGCAAGCATGACTAGTGGCGGACACAGGACCCTGAGTGGGCATAATTAAATAAAATTTAAAAATAATAGAAAATAATTTAATATTTATAAAATAAATATTTAGTTTTGTAAAATAATATTAGGAAAGGAAAAATTTAAATGATATTTTCATAAAAATCTAAATTTAAATATAATGTATTCAAAATTTAAAACATTTTGAACTTGAGTGAAATATAAAAGACCTAAAAATTTGTTGAACCCAAATATATTTTTGTTTGGGTTTAGTGGCTTCAAAACTATTAGGATAATGGGGCAAAATTTTTAAAATTTTCACCTCTTCTTTGTAAAATTTTCCAAGTTGAGTGGGAGCATTTACCTACCCTCAACCATGCCTTGATCCACCAGTGGGTATGACACTATATTTTAATCCAAAACTTTAAAGCATTAATTTTATGAGTCTTTTTTATTTATATACATTTTCTCTAGCCCAATTCTATATGTAGGATTTTTCTCCACACCAAGCCAAGCCAAGCCAAGCCCACTCATACTTGACAACCCAACAAATCGACGCAAGAAGAGTGCTGGTTGCTAGTCTTCTACAGTCTTTTAACAAGGGGCAACTTTTGAAGAACATCTATTTCATGACATTGGTTTTGGATGGATCTTTATTTTTTCATGGACGAGGCGTAGCCAGTAAAACAGACTTTGCTTGGCTAGCTGATAACTTTAGCTAAGGTTTTTGGTTGGAATCCAGGAGGGAAGTTGGCTTTGTGAGTAGCTTTAGTGGCCATTTAAGTTATAAATAGAAGGAAATAAAAATGATTGGGTTTGATGCAAAATGGAAAGAGCAGGGACTAGGGGTGTCTCCATTTTTTTCCTCTCCCTTTTCCTCCACTTTCTCCATCCCCACCACTCAAATTTTTTTATTAAACAATTTTTTTAAATAATAAAATTAATGAATGGTGGGGATGGGGGAAGTGGAGGGCAATGTAGAGAAAAGAAATGGAGAGTCCCCACTTTTGAAAGAGCAGAGGGCAAGAAGAGAAGAGAGAAGGGAGGAGGGAGGAGGTCAAAACTCTCAAAAACTATTATTCAATAATACTTAAATATTGAATACAAATGAAAAATTTAACTTCATTTATAGAGTTTTAAAAATAATAAAATAATAATAATTTAAATTCAAATCCCAAATCGTAAATTTAAATCTAATATTAAAAATACTAATATCTAAGATAATAATAAAATAAATAATAAATTCTGATTCTAATGAATAAAATTCTTATTCAAATATTTCTAATGGATAATTATAATATCTTAAATAAATCTTAATTATCTTAATCACCCATTCTACCATATTCCATTAGTTGGCTTAGAAGAGTATGAACAATAACTCACCTAATCTCCACCTGATGACTTCACTGGCTGTGCTAGACATGCATGACTGCTTTAGAATGATGATGACAACAGATTCTATTTATGTAGCTGAAATTGCATAGATTGGTATCATATGTAAGTACGATGATTAAGAGAGGTAGATCCCGAAAGATAGAACAAATTTTTTGTAGCATACACAATGCATTGCCGTGAATAAACTTTGTTTTATGTATCGCATATATATATGTGACTACTTTTTATGTTAGTTTAATTTTTTTTTTGGATTTTTTACGATATGGGCAAAAATTGTGAGCATTATAGTTATCAACGTATTCAATGAATATATGATCATTTTTAAATATTTTTTACAACTAATTAATTTTTTGACCAGTTTTTTACAATTAATTAAGCAACATAAGATTCATTCTTCGAAAAAACATAATTCATATGTTAATATCACGAATTAAAATTAAATGCGAGAAACATAAATGCCAAGCTGAGAAATTCTTAGGTGCATTATGCACCCAACCCTTGCCACTTAATTATGCTTTTTCCAATAAAATTACACTAATTAAGTCACATTATTTTAATTTAATCAACCTCATAATTTATAATATTTCAGTGTTTATATATTTTTAAGAAAAAACTATTAAGGGGGACAATTTGAGAAGGATCCTGGTTCCTTAAAATATTATAAATTAAGGGGTTGTCACATAAAATTAAAACAATGCAACTTAGTATATTTTTATTGGAGAAAGCATAAGTGATATGGTGTACTAGGTGCAGGTAAGAATATATTTCTCTATCATGTAAGTGCTGGTTTTTATTGAATTTTTGTGAGGTATCAGTAACATGTTGGGTCTAGTAGAAGGATTCAATATCTCATAAAATGATAAATCAATATTTAAATTTTTGTTAAGAGAGGTATTTATATTTATTACCTAATCATGCTTAGAATAATAAAAAAAAGTTGTTAAATTTCATGCTTTGCTTGGTCGGTGCATTGATGAGGTGGCAATTTAAATCAACCTAAGAATAAATAAAAATATAAATTTATAACAAATTACTTTGTCCGTTTAATTTTAGAAGACATTTTTAATAACTTTCATTTTCAAGAAAACAGTAGTTAATATCATTAATAACTACTTACTCATCCTATATATACCTTTATTTAATAGGATAATTTAGTCACAAATAAAGATGAAAATTTAATTAATTTCATATATTCATTAAAAACATCTTTTGAAAATATCTTGTTGATTACTCTTAAAAAAACATTAAAATTCCTTATATTTTTAAATATGAAATTCAAAGGATAAAAAATGTCTTATAATTTTAAATAAAGAAAGAAAATTCACAACTTCCAAATAGTACGACTCAAGTTTCAAGTAATAAATAAAATGTCTGCTTATAAAAATATAAAATTTATAACAATTCTACTCATTTTCTAGACTATACCTAACACAAGCAACCCTAATTTGCTTTAAGAAGAATGATAGCCAGATTTAAAAAAATTAAAACAATTATATCCTTGAATTTTTTTTAAAATTATAAATATTAATTCAAATAATTATAAATTTAAAAATTTTGATTATAAATAATATAGTTAAGTTTTAAATGTAACTTTCATTGTAGCTAAAATTTAGTAATTCTACGTTAGCTTTTGTTTCTATATTTTTTTTTCAAGCTTTGTAATGGCCATTTTATATAAAAAAAAATTGATATATGCAACTTATTATTTTATTTTTTTGAATCCTAACTTTGATTACCTTTGGAATTTAAGTACCGTTTTCCTTATAATTCAAGTACCCTGAATAAAATCTTTGCGCCAAAATATACATGAATTTCTTAATTCTTAATTTGTTCGATTGGATGAAGAAAAAGAAAAGGAAGAAATGCGCAGCCACACATTGTCCTTCAGATAAAGCTTCATTACACGTGGCAGAAACCCAATGGAGCAATCTTTTGATCTAGATAAGGAATCAGATTATGGCCATTCTACTAAGCCCAATTTCAACAATCTCTTTTGTATCTCTCTCCCCTTCAAACTGTGACACATTTTTCGCAGAAGAAGAACCATCACACTACTTCACCAGCAGAGCAATATGGCTTCCATGACCATGGCTGCTTCATTCCTGGGCGGTGCAATGACCAAAAACCCCTCGTCGTCGTCTTCAAGCCCAGCTCGCAGGAGCCTGATTGTGGCTAAAGCCACGGAGGGCAAAAGTGTCAATGTCAAAGCCATGGAGAGCAGCAGGAAGGAAGAAGGAGGGAACAATGGAAGGAGGGATCTGGTGTTTGCTGGTGCAGCTGTGGCTGCGTGCTCCATCGCCAAGATTGCTTTTGCTGAAGATGAGCCCAAGCGAGGAACCCCAGAAGCCAAGAAGAAATATAACGTTATTTGTGTCACCATGCCCACTGCTCGTATATGTCGCAATTGAATATGAATTAAGAGTTCAAGTCATCATTTGACTTTCTTTTTTTCATTCCTTTCTCTCAATCACTGTCATTTCTATGAGCTTCATGCACAATGTTGTTATGAATATGTAACTCTCTCTCTCTCTCTCTCTCTCTCTCTCTCTCTCTCTCTCTCTCTCTCTCTGCGCGCATAATTATGCTCTTTCTTATATCACTTCTCTGCAAGATGTCATTAGAAGATCAAGTTTATCATCATTAATTCCATAAATACATATATGCATATCACTCCAGGTCTCTATACTTTGACCAGGTGATGTTTGTAGTCCCTTTATTTTCATGGTTTTACTTCTGCATCACTTTTGATTTTGCTTGTTTAGTCCTCTTACTTATTTTAAAAAATATTTAGAAGATCTATGACCTGGCTACTGGCTAGTGTTAATTTTGAATGTCCTTTTTTTTTTCCAAGTGAAAAAGGAAGCTGTATTCAAATAAGGTCTATATACAATACAAGGGCCTAACTAACTCAACCTTTCAGCATGCAACCTCTTATTCAGAGAGGTAGTACCAGTAGATGATCAAAGATGTTAAGATTCCTAGTAGTTTGGTATCTAAGTGGAACAAGCTTAGATAGTTGAACATGAGAGGAAAATAACAGTAACTGAACAAAATATATAAGTTTGGTTTCTTCAATGATGTTATTGATGTTCTTCAACGTTTGTCCCAAGTTAAAATTTTGTAGCAGAGTACTCTTTGTGCACATTTGCGGTTTGCAGCCCCTTGTCTAAACATAAGGTAAGCCTTGGAGGTAAGTAGTCTACTTATAGAACATTAATAATTAATTTATGATTTTTAAAAAATGTTAGTTGAAAGTTAAATTTCTTTAAAAAAATTTATATCTTTTTAATTATACTCTTACTAAATGTCGTATATAAGTGTCTTTGACAATGACAATTAAAATTCTAGTGCATTATTTTTTCAAAAAAAATAATAAATGAAGTAAAGGTGTAATTAAAAAATTAATTATAAAATTTATTCCATACTCTATAAATTAAACTAAACAAAACTTTTAAAAAATATCCTATATTATGGCCGAGAGGCGAAGCCAAGTTATAGTGACTAGTGAGCTCAATTTGGGGAAAATTACCAATAGAGTATATAAATTTTGTAACTTTACACCCTTTATTTTTGATATTTTGCATCCCACTAAATAAAAAAAATATCTAGGTTCAAAAACTTATTAAAAATATAATATTTTAATAATATATATAAGATACAAAGAATTTATTTACATAAAAAATCATATCAACATATTCATTATAATTTTTAAAAATAAAAATGATGATAATTCTTTTTATGTTTAACAATTTTGGTCCTATTGTAATTATTATTTTTAATTATTAAATTATCATTTTTAAAAAATATATTAATTTTTTTAATTAAATTATCCTGCATCCCTGTCTCCACAAATCTATTGACCAGCATCCTTCAATAATAAACCTGATTCATGTGACCCTCCCTTGACAAACAAATGAACCTGCTCCATCTCTGCTTCAATATTATTACTAGTTTGGTAATGAGACATCTGGAGCATGTTATAATCGTGCCTTTTGCCTTGAAAATTAAATACTTGGAATGGTATTAGAGCTCCCTTCATTTTCATTTGCTGTCAAACACAATAATCTTGCATATGTCTACCTGGAATTCCCAACAGAAGTAGCCAAATACACAACTCCAAGGTAAAGTGCTGGTAAGGGCACTCTATGCTTCTGTTTTAAGGTTCAATTGTAGCCATTCCATGGTGTAATTAAGAAGGTGGAGGAAGAAACATGCCTGCCGCACCAGATGGTTTCACTACGAGGGAACCAGTGACAGATCTAGGTTGGGTTATAGTTGGCCAAATGCCTCCATTCAACTTGAAAAAACTTACAAGTATGCATTGTAACTTTTGAAAATCTACACTTGCTGCTTCAATAATTTTGAACTTGCTTAACTGGGAAAAATTTACAAGTGTGTATGGTAACCTTTGAAAATCTACACCTACTACTTCAATAATTTTGAAGCTGAAAATAAAGAATATTTGAATTCTAAAAAAATTTAAGCCTTTTTGATATTTCGTTTAAGTCTAGTATGTTTTAAGCTCTTAACCTGTTGAATTTAAATTTATATTATTATTTTTTTGTGACAGGCAAAAGAAGAAAAAGAAAGAAAGTCACAAAGAAAAAAATAACAGACAAGTGTTTCACAAAGTCAAAAGAAAAACAGTAAATGAAGAAAAGGAAAAGAAAAGGAAGACAGTGTCGAAAGAAAAGCAATCCAACCACAGTTAAGAAAAGTAATCGACGTTAAAGGCACTTTAATCAGAGTTATTCTAAACTCTATACAATCAAAAGACTCATTCTTGTATAAACATCGCTTAGACACCCTCCTTATTTCTTTGTAAACTTATATTTTCTCTAACCCTTCCACTTATAATTTTCTTTTCTTCAACCTTGCTTTGTAAATTCCCTGTAAAGTCATATATTATTCATGTTCTATTTTAGTCTTTATAATTTAAATTTATATTATTATTTTTTGGTAATATAAATTTATATTATTTTAATCTTAATTGTTATTATTTTATATTTTAAGCCCCCAAGTCCTGTGTCTACCAGTGGCAAGAACAGAGTTGTGGTAGAATTCGATCCTTTCTGCACAACAAATGCACAAATAAGGAGGAAGAGAGAAAGAGAGAGAAATGAGAGAGTTTTTCAAGATATGCAGAGAGCACTTTAAAACCAGCATCCATACTCTGCCTTTAACCCATGCATGCTCCCACTTCTCTAAATGTGCATTGACAGATATAAAATCTGTTTCCTCCCATTTTCAAACAAAAATAAAACTGCACACAGTGGCCAAGATCATTTTTATATTCTGATAATACCTCATTAAATAACTAGGCTAGGGCTTGGGCTTAATTCACCAAGTGTGGATCACCCAATACATGGTATCTCTTTTATTGCAATCTTCCGAAATTTCTTCCTTAATCAACATTTTCCACTTGATCTCTACCTTTGTGCAGTAACTAAACAAGTGTAATGTGCTCTCCACCTCCTGGCATAGTGGATCCTCAGCTAGTCCACGCTCTTATCTCAGAAGTCCAGCATGTACAGCCTCATTAGCGATCAGAAATAAAAACATTTTCATTTTTTTTTCTGGTGCTTGATGCTTCCAGATATCTCTCCAAACATGGTTGATGTCATTGTTCTGAGCACCTGCACGCACAAAAAGAATAAGCAGGTTTAACATTAAAATAACCATCACTTGATTGTTTCCATGTGAATCTCACTTGCTCCTCTCACTCTGCAAGGGAATATTGTGCCAATAATAATAGAGTTCATCACATCATCACAGCTATACTTCTCTCAGCATTTGTTGGGTTATCCAACGTCAGTGGATTGGCCTAATATATATGCCTATGGGGTTTTACCGTGAATATGAAAGAGTATGCGTTTCTAAGTATAATATGTTTGGGCTTTTGCACGCAAATATTCTTATTGTTCAATTTGTTAAATTCTGACCCTGAAGATCTTTTATATATCCCAAGTCCACTGTATAATTTTCTGCCAGGAAGGTAGATGGACTTTTCTGCTATCCTTTGTACTCCTCCACTCAATACTTTTACATCTTTTCAATCTCATTTATAATTTCTTGGGAACTAGCATGGTTTGCATGTAACAGTTGGGGATTGCAGAAATTACAGTCTTTAATTAACCAAGGTGGGTCTACCAGCTAAAGTGAGATTATGTTACTTAATCTATTTGCGACAAATTAATTTATTATGTTACTCAACCAATACTGGTTTAAGAAAACTTAACCAGAAACTATTAGATTGCATAATTATCTCCTTTTTTCTATTTCCTCTCACATTTACACAGTATGTAGTGAGCATTTGAGATATACCAGAGTGTGAAGCGTGCAATAAATGTGCAGCAAAGGAGGAAGATTTCAAATTTTCAATCCCTTCATGATAATATTTCTACTTTTTATTGGTATTACTCCTAAATGCCTGTTAATTATTTAGGGTCAAGGCTATTTTTCCCTGTTTTATATAGGGTTGATTCGCCAAGAGACAGTAAATGATGACAGCGACCGGTGAGGGAACTCCTCTCTGATGTAATCTCTTTTGTTTTGTATGTTCCTTTGTAATCACACACACATATATTATATAGGTCTGAACTTGAGAATTACCAGAAAAATAAGTAAAAGGATTTTCAAGCTCAAGCTGAAAAGCCCTATAAAATAAGAGCTGAACTTGGATTAGCTTAAAAGCCTTATTTATTTATTTTTATATTCTTATTTTTTATCCAAAAAAAAAAGTGTACTCAATCTCAACCTCAAACAATAACTACCTAAATGTTGAATTATTAAAAGACTAATCAAGAAGTTAAATATTTTGTTTTAAATTTTCTTTTCCACTTTTCTCTTTACCTCACTTCTCTCCTACCAAGCATAGCATAAGTCTGAAGCCACTCTCCTTTTTTTTTTTTTTTGCTTTTGATTCAAATCCATGGTTTTCTTCACCACTTTCTTGCAAAATTGAAATTTAAAAATTTTAAAAAATACTTATACATCAATCATATTATAACAACAGACTTTTAAAAAAAAATTAATTTGTAAACTTTAATTTGTAAGGACTCGGAGTTTCCAAACACTAATATAAACACACTTACATTTGTGTTGAAAAACTGGGGCTTGATGAATAAAAGCTGGGCCTCCAAGTAACCATAACATTTTTGGGTCCAAACATTAAAAAAAAAAAACAGAAACAAGAAGAAACGGTCACATCTTGTTTGTATAATTTCATAAAATCATAGAAGTTTATACATAATATGTGTGGTTGTGTATTAAATTATTTAATTTAATTGCCATCTTCCTTCAAATCGGATAGAATAGTACAAGCAGCCACGTAGTACATCTTTGACGAAGAATATATAAAAGATCAGGAAGAGACTCTGTGCATGAGACAAGAAAGTTCTTTTGCCCATAAACATTAAAAATATTAACTCTTATATTTATTTTTTGTTTGTTCATGGAGTAAAAGTTAATTAATTAAACAGTTAATAATAAAGCATTGACTTGACTCCAACGCCACC